ATTGTGGACGTTAGATTAATTCACTGTAGGTGTAACTGTTACAGCACTCCCAAGAGTAGGTGTGCTCTAGCTTCCCTGGATATGCTCTGCTAGGGGTGGAATGGAAAAGCAGAGACGTTCAGCTGAGTAGGAACTATTTTGTTGTTGTCGTTAAGACAGCATCTTGCTCTGTCACCCAGGCTGGAGTGCAATGGCCTGTTCTCAGCTCACTGCAACTTGTACTTCCCAGGTTCCAGCGATTCTCCTGCCTCAGCCTCCCGGGTAGCTAGGATTACAGGCACCTGCCGCCATGCCCAGCTAATTTTTGTATTTTTGGTAGAGACAGGGTTTGACCATGTTGGCCAAGCTAGTCTCAAAATCCTAACCTCAAGTCATCCACCCACCTCAGCCTCCCAAAGCACTGAGATTACAGGCATGAGCCACCTTGCCTGTCTGGAACTGAGCATTTAATAAGGATTCTAAGGTTCATTTTTATCAGAAATGAAACAAAACAAAATAGTGATTCTAGGCAATTAGTAGCTTTCTGTTGGGGATATTATTGCTCTTATTCTATTAATATGAAACTGAATTTATTTTCTCTGAATTAAAATTTGGGTTTTGTTTTTCTCTTTGGAAGGAGTTTCTAGAATGACAATAAGGAGCAAAAGTTACCTTTTGTGTTTAGATAGGAGGAGAGAGAAATTTAACAGTAAATAAATTAGCACAGCTTTCAAGGGAGAAGTAGCAAAAATTAACTTGAAATCAAAGTAAATACTGTTAAGTAGTTGATCTGAGGGTGGTGGTCTCTTGATAGCTGAGAATATACTTAGAGAGCTTTGCTTTTATTGCTAGAATATGGATTTGGTTAGTAATGAATTAGAACCTATGGAATAAAATAAATATCTGTAGTTTATGCTGACCGAAATTTTAAAAATGAATAGAGAAGGGACAGCTTTTTCTTACAGTGGCATTTTAATCACCAAGTACAAAATGAATAATGGAAATAGAAAAGTCACTAAGCAAATATTACAATAATAATTATTTTTGGCAAGAATTATCAGTGGATACAAAAATCAGTGGGGAAGGGTTTGATTAGAAACAGGATTTTTGTGTAGTTTCAAAGTATCTCCTTATAAGACTTGTTAATTCTGAATGATGGAAAAGCTGGCAGATACCACCTTAACCACATTAAAAAGTTAATGTCATCAATAATGAGACATGTTGTCCTCATGTAGCTCCTGATGGCCCCAATGACACATCTGTGATATCCTTGCCAAAAATGCATAACCTCAATCTAATCGTGAGAAAGCATCAGAAAAATCCAAGTTAGGGGAACATTGTACAAATAAAGGACCTGGCCTCTTCAAACTCATCAACATCGTGAATGGCAAAGATAAATTGAGGAACGGTCACAGATTGGAAGGTTAAGGAGATACCACAACTAGGTGCAAGGTGGGAACCTGGATTGGATCTTAGACTGCAAAAAAAGACCCTAGTGGAACAGTTAGTGAAATTTGAATAAGGCCTGGAAATTATTTAACATTCTCTTGTATCAAAATACAAATTTCATTATTTCAGTATTGACTGTGATTATCGTTAGGGGACTTTGGAATGGCATTTGGAAACTAAATTTAGAAAGTGTTATCATTGGGGAAGTTGGGGGAAAGGCATTTGGGAACAAGTTTTGCAACTTTTTATATAAAGGTCTGGTGTGATTTTGAATGATTTAGAAGTTCTTCATTGGCAGAAAGAGGATGAATGTAACCGCAAGGTACCTCTTTATAATCTGTTTTATTCTCTAAGATTATTAGGTGTAGTAGTCAATTTTAGAGTACTTGTGAATATCCTCAAAAAGTTGGTTGTAGCCCTTTTACTTGCAGCCTGATTTAGTCTTCTAATAATCATTCTAACATACATGTTAATAATTCAATTTTACAATTGTAAAAATGGAGGTCTTGAGCAATAACGACTTAGCTCCAAATGACAGTGGAACCAGGAATTTCATGTTTTGTATCATTTGTTATTTTTTTTTCAATAGCTCTCATCTAAAGTCAAAAGTATAATCGAAATATTTCAGAAAATTAGTTCTTATCTGCAAAATTCAGCAGACAAACTCAAGGGGTAGATCTTTTGTGAATCTTATGTTTATTGCTTTCTGAGTAATTTCAGCCTCTTGAGTTGCAGCTTCTGTATGTCCTGCCTCATTGTATGCCAGACTTCCAGACCAAAACTTTCCTCATGGTAAGCTGTCAACAAGTACTTACAAAACATTTGACTGGCTGCAGTGGCTCATGTCTGTAATCCCAGCATTTTGGAAAGCCGAGGCAGGAAGATCACTTGAAGCTGGGTGTTTGAGACCAGCCTGGGCAACATAATGAGACCCTGTCTCTAGAAAATTAATGATGATAATAATGATACAATTAATGATGATAATAATGATACAATTCATGATGGTACACACCTGCAGTCTCAGCTACGTGGGAGGCTGAGGAGGGAGGATTGCTTGAGGAGGGAGTTGAAGGCTACTGTACGCTATGATTGTGCCACTGCACTCCAGCATGAGTTGACGAAGTGAGACCTCATCTCTTAAAAAAACAAGACTAACAGAAAAGATGCAAGTCTGAATGAAGGGAGCTGGGAAAGAGAAAGGTGCATTCTGTGGGTGTCTTCATTCCAAAAGGACCAAACAGAATGAGAAGCAATGTAATTAACTTCTTGTGATCACAACTTTCAATAAAAAATTGATTCACCTTATTAAGTCTTAATTCCATACAATCCTTTGACTTAAATGAGAAATCCAAAGTAGTGTAAAAGACAAAAAAAATTAGAGATCTATGACTTCCCTGTTGGCAGTAGTGTGTACTTTAATGAAATTTATTTTTTTAATTTAAAATTAAACATCCATCTCTACAGTTGTTTACTTTCACTGCATTGATTTCTGTTGTTTTTCACATTAGCATTTCATCTGTATCTAAAACATCTTATCGCCTGTTTGCCTTGTCTTCCATAAACTGTATTTGACTTTTATATAAACTTCTCATTGAAAAAAAAATCAGAATTTTTAGGGGTTGAATTTAAAGGATTTAAAAGAAGATTATCTGTCCACAAACTATTTTAGATGGGAGTGAGTGGGGTACAGGACTGTCTTCTAGAATCAAAGAGGGTGAGTGGTTAACAAAAGATTGACAGAATATTGCTGAGGTCTCTTGGACCCAGATGGTATCATCCCAAGTCATGTTGGTCCATAAGTTGATGTACCATTTGTTTGTTCTCCACTCATAAAGAATTAGCAACAAAGTCAGGAACTGAACTTTGGTTTATTAGTGCCTCCAGTTGCTTCATTTGCCTGTACCTACTGTCTCCAGCTCTGAATGTTTTTTATTATATTTTAAGTTGTGGGGTACATGTGTAGAACATACACATTTGTTACATAGGTATACATGTGCCATGGTGCTTTGCTTCACCCATCAACCCATCATCTACATTAGGTATTTCTCCTAATGCTGTCCCTCCCCTGGATCCCTACCCCCCGACAGGCCCTATGTGTGATGTTCCCCTGTGTCCTGTGTTCTCGTTGTTCAACTCCCACTTATATCAACTCTGAATTTTATTTGAGACATTTTTTTTCTTTCAGGAAAGATGTCTGGGTAGTATTATAACAGATGAATAAAGCTGGCTTTCAGTGTAATAAAAGTCCAACCACACTGTTGAAAGAACTGTGGTAAAATATATATAACATGATATTGAGTGTAATTTTTTTTGTTAAGATTGCTAAGGAGCTATAATTTAAAGTACCACAAGAAAATGCAACATTTTCTCCCCAACTGGAGAAATAAATTTGGATAAAAAAGTTTTTATAATTAGTTATGTTTTACCATACTTTATTTGGAATGAGGAAGACCAAACTTGTTTTATGGTCCTTTATACATTTTAGCTAACTTAGATTCATTTGCAAAATAAACAACTTGAGATTATTTATAAGGGAGATGATTGATTTTGAATGCATTATAAAAGGTGTAATATTTGTTAAATACAATTTTAACTGCATCATTTTCTTACTCCAGTTTTCTCAAAGCAGATACCCTTAGTTGCAAGAACATCAATGTAGGTGTATTTTATGCCAAAAAGGGTGATAGTTTAGAGTTGAATTGTCAGGGTTAAAACTGTGTCCTGTATCAACTTACTGGATGTCTGGAAGGCTAATATTAAATCCTTTGATTTTCTCCTTTATGAATCTTTAAGCTATGTCCATATATTTATATTTGACGTCAATGGAATTAACAGTTTTAGAATTCCAGTTTAAGAGCAATTAGCTTTTCCTGCATCTGCCTTTAAAAATGATTAATTTGAAATGTCATTCAGTTAAGTATGAATTGCTGTTGTTTACTAATAACTATTTGGCTTAGTTGCTATCTGAAATGGAAATAGGAGTCTAGTTGCAAGAAGTATTTAAGGCATTTCTTTTTCTGCTAGGGTCTGGGACGTCAGTGTTCGGTAATTCCAGGAAGTGACTCTTGTCAGAAGAAATGATTTTTATATTGTTTAAAAGGTACTCTTTCCTAGGCAATGAATGACATTTGCGTAATTCCAGAGATGCTGTCTAACTGACTTTAGTGTTTAAGGATTCCAAAGCTAGAACTGTAATTTTAAAAAAATTCTTAAATGAAGATATAGAGAAAAGAAGCATCTTTAAGATATGAACATGAATAATTTTTAGAAGTTCATGTAATAAAATTTTGTTGTCTGGTCTTGATAGCCACTGACTGAAGAATACAAGGTAATTAATGAGTTTTGTAACTGCTCCCTGGAGCAGTGATTCCCAGCAATGGTGGAGGAGTGAGGATGACTTGAAAACTGTTGCATGTGTTTGACTGCATGAACAGTGTAGAGGAAAAGAGGTTTGCAAACAGTTGGTGTAGAGAAAGTATAATAAGCAAAGCCAAAAAGAGAAATCACAAAAGTCTGGTAACTGAGGGCCCTCTGATGACAGAAGTCTCAACCTTTTATGTTTCTGGTTTCAGATTGCCTGTTTGGTTCCGGTGGACCAGTTTCAGCTTTATCAGCGCTTAAAATTTGAAAGAGGTATGAACTCTTCTTTTTTTTTCCTGATGGTGATTGTGGTTTTACATGTGTCATTTTTACACTAACCCCCATGGGAGATTAAGGCAGCTGTGGGCTGTCAACAAAGCCACAAGGGAACCCCAAAAGGAGAATACTGTAATTGCAACATAAAATTTCAATCCTCTCAGCTACCACCAGAAAAAAATGCAGACTAGCAGGAAACCTAACTTTCCTTAGGTTGTTTATTTTGTATTTTGAATTTGGCTCATGTAAGAAAGGTTTTGCAAAATTTGGATGGCTTTATAATCACAGTAATAGAAAAGAAAGTGACTCTAAAAATGGGTTTTAACCCCAATTTTCAACTCTTGACGATCACTTTGAAACATTAACCATCCCAAACATTTTTACTGCTTCTCAAAATACGCAGCACATTTTTTTTTTTTGATATTACTTTTGTAAACATGGTAGTAAATCAGTGTGGATAGGTATCATTCTTGTGCATTTTACAATATATTGGGCTGATTTTCTGTCTGACTTTGGACTTTGGGTAACTTATATAGGTTTTTTGTTTGTTTTGTTTTATTTTAGACAGAGTCTCGCTCTGTTACCGGGCTGGAGCGCAGTGGCATGATCTTGGCTTACTGCAACCTCCGACTCTCTGGTTCAAGCAATTCTCCTGCCTCAGCCTTCTGAGTAGCTGGGACTGTAGGTGCATACCACCAAGCCAGGCTAGTTTTTGTATTTTTAGTACAGACGGGGTTTCACCATGTTGGCCAGGATGGTCTCGATCTCCTGACCTCGTGATCTGCCCGCCTCGGCTTCCCAAAGTGCTGGGACTACAGGTGTGAGACACTGCGCCCAGCCCTCGTATGGCTTTTCTATTTAGTTATAAGTATTACATTTTTACTTCATTTGGCTGTTGACAGGTCTTTTTTCACAGCCCTTTTCCTCTTGTCATACCCTAATCAATTTTTGAGGTAAATGGTCTATTTCTTATTATCTCAGGAGTAGGAAAAATATCGTTTCTCCCAGAACTCATTGGACTGGTATAGCCTCATCGAGTATGTTAAATGTGAATCTAGCATGAACATAAAGTTTTCTGATTGCTGACTTTTAAATATGGATTAATAAAGTCTAGAGGTGAGGGTGGGGGTGCATGAATGTTTATATGTCATCTGCCAATAAGTTTGGTTAGCACAACTATCTTTATCTCGTTTAATTTTTACAACTACCCTGAAAAATAATGCTTAGAGGAAAAAAGAAAAAAACATGCAGAGCATAAAGAGGGGCAGAGTAGGGCTTGTTGGGGATTCATAGGTTATTAATCACAACCTTAGACCTAGATCTGGTTTGGTCTTATAGGAGAAGAACACTGACTTTTTAAAAAATCCAACAGCCAAAACCAGATTCATCTCATGGGTGGATCACGTAACTAAACTCGTAAGGCTGATATATTAAACTAAATTTACCCAAAAACACACAAAAAATCTCTTGGGGCCAGGTGCAGTGGCTCATGCCTGTAATCCCAGCACTTTGGGAGGTTGAGGTAGGTGAGACTCACAAGGCCAGGAGTTCAAGTCCAGCCTGGCCAAGATGGTGAAACCTCATCTCTACTAAAAATACAAAAATTAGTCGGGTGTGGTGGCATGTGCCTGTAATCCCAGCTACTCTAGAGGCTGAGGCAGAGAATTGCTTGAACCTAGGTGGCAGAGGTTGCGGTGAGCCGAGGATCCACTGGACTCCGGCCTGGCAACAGAGCAAGACTCTGTCTCAAAAAAAAAAAAAAAAAATCATGGATTATGTTGTTTGAATTCCAAATAGTGGGTACATATTTGCTCTATGTCCAGATGGGAAATAGGAAATAATAAGTTATAATGTTGAACATGGAATCAGAACCAGGGAGTTAGACGGATTTTAGGTTTAATGGATGATGATGTAATCTGATGCTTCTGTCCTGTGAAAAGTTAATGATGGGGGTCGTTCATATTGACTCTCTCTAATCCATCCACATGGGCTGATTAGATTGAGCATTATAACACCAGATGTGATAGCTAAAGATAAGAGCATCAACCATCTGCCCTGCCGTTTCCCCACTTTATCCCAATATCCTCTGCTATAAAAATCAATTATAATTAGAACAGGGACATTGCCAGTATTCACCCTGTGGACGACTGGCTGGTAGCAAGTACCATGATTTTTGAGGGCGTTTACCTGGAGAAAGCCTAAAGAGTTAGGTTGGATCTTCAGGCTGCTGCTTAAATGGTGGGATGTGACCTGTCAACCACATCAGTCCTACTCAGTCCCTGGCGCTGAGTCTATTTACAGTATTCTCATGTCTCCATCAGCACTTCTCCTCTCCCATGACTGCCCGTTTCCTCCCCAGCTAACTCCACTGCCCCATATGTCAGCAGCAGGCCTTATTCCTAATTGTTTGCATTTTAGGTAACTTACTGGTTAGTGTAAATGTCTTTTTTGTAATTAGAATATTCTAATATTACCAAGAATGGCAACTTTCTGTGGGTTGTTTCTCACTGATGAATATGAAGTTTTGGTTTATTTTAAAATGTTAGCTACTAGCCTGAGTACAATTGTGGGCCCCACCACTGGTAGGCTGTGTGACCATGGCAAGGTCCTTAATATTTCTGCATCTGAATTTTCTCATTTGTCAAGTGGGGATAACAACCGTCTCTATACCATAAGGTTGTGATGAGTATTATGTCAATTAATACTTGTAAAGCTTTTCCTGTGAGTGCTTCCTGTGTCTCATTGTTCAAAATTTTAACAGTAGTTGGCAATAAAAATAACGTGAAAGTAGCACCTTTAAAGTATTCTCAATGTTCTTCTCCTGTATATTTTTTTCCCAATGAGATAATCATACTGTTCTTCAGGAAATATCATCGTACTGAAATAGATATTATTGATTGTCTTGTTGTCAGTGAGATTAACACACTTGAAGTCAGTTGGCAACATCCATCTTTATGTGGGGCAAGGTAGATGTGAAAAATCATTGGTCATGATTTTCACTCGTTCCCTAGATAGTGGTTGGCTTTTCGAATTTTCAGTAGTATTCAAACCTACTTGTGAATGGCTTAATCCTTCATTACATGTGATAATATGTTCAGTCTGGCCACAATGAAGTTGGGCAGGCCTCTGAGCCAGTCTTTTTCAGGAGATGGTACATATTTCTCCTTTGCTCTGTTACAAATCGATCAAATGGTTTTATTCGTATGTGGAATTTATCTTTTTCTCACGAGTCCTAGGCAGATGCCCCACTATGGATCCCATACATTGACAATTCATTTTGTTACTCTTATTTTATAGATGAAGAAACTGAAAATGGGAGATTGAGACTTGTGTAGGACCACATGGACTGTGGCTAACCTTCCTCATCTGTACAAATGTCAAGATTCTATAATTTTCTTTCTGTTATTAAATGTATATATAACATAAAAGTTGCCTTTTAAACCATTTTAGATGTACAATTCAGTGATATTAATTCCATTCATACAGTTGTGCAGCCATCACCACTGTCTGCTTCTAAAGCTCTTTCATTACCCCAAATTCTGTAGCTGTTAGCCAGTAAGTTCTTATTCCTCCTCCCTGCAACCCCTAGTAACCTCTAATCTACGTTCTCTTATTTGGTTATCCTAGATATTTCATATAAGTGACATTATACTTTTGTATTTGTCCTATGTTACTTAATAAATGTGTTTCACAGTTCCTTTCCTGTTATAGCAAGTATGAGAACTTCATTTTTTAAGGCTGAATAATATGCCACTATGTGTTTTTACCTCATTTTGCTTATTCATCTGTTGGTGAACATATCATTTGTTTCCACCTTTTGGCTACTGTAAGTAGTGATGCTGTGAACACTGGGGTATAACTGTCTGTTTGAGTTTCTGCCTTCAATCTTTCTGGGTAAAGTAACTAGAAGTGGGATTACCGGGTCATATGGTAATTTTCCATTTAGTTTTTGAGGAACTGCCAAATTGTAAAAGCCTATAATTTAAATATAAATTTAATTAGACATCTTACTGCCATAAAGTATTATAGTATATTCAATTTAGTGACCTTTTGATTTAACCCCCTCATTTTATGAAAAAGGAAACTGAGGCCCAGAGACAATTTCCTCTTAGGTGATTTTGTTTTCTTGTTTGTTTTGTGATGGAGTCTCGCTCTGTTGCCCAGGCTGGAGTGCAGTGGCATGATCTCGGCTCACTGCAGCCTCCACCTCCTGGGTTCAAGCGATTCTCCTGCCTCAGCCTCCTGAGTAGCTGGGACTACAGGCACCCATCACCACACCTGGCTAACCTCGTATTTTAGTGTAGACAGGGCTTCACCATGTTGGTCAGGCAGATCTTGAGCTCCTGACCTCAGGTGATCCACCAGTCTTGGCATCCAAAAGTGCTGGGATTACAGGTATGAGCCATTGTGCCCAGCCTCAGGTGATTTTGGAAGGCAATTTGTAATCACGTAATTCTTCATTACCATCCATTATAGTTATTATTGGAAAATGGACATTTCAAGTAAGAGTAAACTTAAGTTAATGAAGTGCCACGTAATGGAATTTATATGATTGGGATAAACTTTATCTAATTCTGTCTAAACTTGATCTAAATTGTGTAAAATAGACTTCTTATCTACTTCAAACTCAAAACCTTTATCAGCTAGGTGACTTTGAGATCTATGTTGTGAGTGTATATTTGATGTGAAACTATTTACAAGGGGACCTTCGGGTGCATTAAATACCCACTAATATTGTTAATGAGTTACATAGCCAACTGGCTGAAAGAAAATCTCATTGGCTGGACTGTGAGACAGAATTGTAGAGATTGCTCCTGCTCTGGAAAAATGTAGAATCAGAGTAGATGCAGAACTATTTCTTAGTTATAAAAAATCATCCTTCGTTTTTTTCCAATTCTGATTGCCTGCCAAGTTTTTAGTCTTTAGCTTGTTGTTCAGTGTGTGAATTGTCCTCTGTTTTGTGTGACGTATTTGATTAGCTTGTCTTTTATGTCTTT